GGAAGGGAAGGGAAGGGAAGGGAAGGGAAGGGAAGGGAAGGGAAGGGAAGGGAAGGGAAGGGAAGGGAAGGGGAATCTGTTTAATTTTGCATGTTCAATCCTTTGACAGTACTTTCCTAGACTTTTGTAAAGAGATAGTGACAGATCATTTTGTCATTTATTTTTGTTCAGAATATGATTTGCATCTGCCAGGATAGTATTTGGCCAGTATTCAGCTGTCATTTTTTTTTTTTTTTAATGTTATACTAAGTCTGACTGTAAACTCATGTTAAGAAACCCCTGTTGGAAGTCAAGCAGGCACAGGTTAGAAAGATAATACAATGGGTGTTTGAAAAGCTTTCCTTCAAAAAGACTCATGTGACTTGTACCTTGTTTGAAAACAGTACAACAGCAGTTCAACTAAAATTGCTAATAAAATGAGGTTTGAAAATAGTTTTTGGTTTTAGCTAGTAAAATTAAATGTACTTGTGATTGTCCACACCAATTGTCTCTGCTTAGGCTTTGTCTGTTACTGTTTTTTCACTGTACTGGGAAAGTGGAAGAAGCACAATCAAGTCCACATCAAGGGAATGAAAACAATGATTCTATTTATGGAGTGATTGTGGTCCTCAAGTCCGAATTTAGAAGATATTAAGTCTAATCAGGCCAATTCTTCAAATAGCATAAACTTGTGTAGGCCTAGCTGAATCCAAACGGCGTTGTACCAGTTTGTGCCCGTTGAGGATCTTTATTTACTGCACTGAAGTATTAGCAAGTACAGTTCCCAGTGTTCTTGGTACAGAAGCTGTCTGGGGCCCAAGAATGCACAGGTTATGGGTACACCACGCTACTGTAGGGCATGGACATATGACATCCATGACTGTGGTGATTTTGCCTCCATATTGCTCTTACTCCCCGTTACCTCATGGCAAATGTGAGATGTTCTCTACCTCCATCTCCAAGCAAGCTACTTCCTTTGTGGCTAAAGTATGGGCAGCAGATGTCCCAGACCAGCTCCTTGCAAGTTGAGCCTTAAACTACTTACTGGCCATTTGGTCATTAATCCACACCTTATTTTTCATGTTCATTGTGGGGAAAGACAATGGCAGAAATACCTGTACAGACTAGAAAATAAAACCACTCCTTGGTCTCAAGCTTACCAAAATGACCAAATGTATTTCACAGACTTTTACACATCTTGCGCCTGCCACACCAAATGCCATCAGACCTCTTGAAACAAGTACCTGCCAATGTTCATTTTCATTTGATACACACTTCACAGCTCTCTATCTTCCCTGGGATTTATAATTTTACTAACTTAGCACAAGTAGTAACAAATAAGATCTTCAGCTACAAACAAGAGCATTAATTCTCCTATGCAATGGTGGGTCACTTTAGGGATAAGCCTTTTGTAATGCAAGTAAGAACAGCAGTCAAGATCTTTGTTTACCACTAGTATTTTCTGTGCTGTAGAGCAAGTGTACCTCCATCATTTACTTCTCCACCTGTCTACCACACTGAGGCCAGTCCCTTAGCAGAGGCATGCTAGCCATGTTTCTGATCCCTCACAATTCTCTGTGTACAGTGGATATTCCAGAAGTCTTCACAAGACACAGGAGTCTTTCCGTTATATTCAGTCCCCTGGGATGATCACAAGAGCCATTTGAAGTATGAAAGAATAGGAAAATTGTTCTTACTACAATTACTTTTTAACCAGAAATGGAAACGTCCTGCCTAGCTGACTTTTCGTAAAGTGTCACCTAGAGTTCGAGAGTTTAAGTGCCCAGGATATGGGACCATGTTTTTTTATTTTGTGAACATTGCAAAATTTGAGATTTTATTTAAAAGAACTCCATTTGAAAGAAAAATAGTAAATGGCACATCATGTAATTGCTATTTATTTTCATAAACATGAGGTATTTCAAAGTGCTATAAGACGCAGCACTAAATGTACATCGTTGGAAGAAATTAAACACAGAACTTTGCAGTTACCCAGTTCTATGCACCAAACATTAACAAATACATTAACTGGAAGAAACAGGCTAGGAAAAGGCATATATAGTAAATTTCTTTACAAAAGTTTCTTAGTTCAAAAAAGTGATAAAGTAATATCTACTCAAAACTTTCACAACTCATTTTCATACGAAAATATAAGTATCAAATTTAGTTATGTATCAGCATCATACTAAAGTATACAGGCAATGTAAGAATTAGTACAGTACATAACAGAGATTAACAATATATTTGTATACAAAAACATGCTCCTCAAACATTGAGGTATTACAGTACTTAGGTATGAACTTCCAGTCTAATACTGGCAGCAAAAGCCACCTCTCATAACCCAAGACATGTACAAAAGGCAAGTGTGTAGATGGTATTTACAGAAAATTCCCACAGGGGTACAAAATGCCAACCCCTAAAGTAACATCTGTTAGAACATAAGCACCATAAAACTTAGGAATGAACGTTTTAAAACTCAACTCGATGTCATCAGCAGCTCCAAATGCTCACAACGATTAAAAAAAAAAAAATCCCCACCATCTACAGTTCTTAAGAAGGAAAACAAAGGCAGTCCATTGTGGTTTGGTAGTCTTGCAATAAACTCCTTGCAAGAACATCCATTTGCTCCGTACCCGGATAATACAGTTTGTCGATTACTTCAGGGACTGGATTGAAAGTAAAACCAACATTCTTAACGTCAAAAAACACAATTTTTTTTTAAAGAATCAAAAATGTGCAAAGTGGCAATGACTGTCCTGGTCAGCCAAAAAAACAACAAAACAAAAAAAAGTTTAGCAAGTCCGCTTGTATTCTATTTTCTTTAGCAATTGTTGTTGTCTAGCTTGCAATTTTTCCTTTTCTAGTAATAACTTCTGCTCCTCTGCCTGAAGGGAATGAACATATTCAGTGGCTTTTTTCAAGATCACAACTTTTGCGGCTTTCTCATTTTTAACCAGTTCTGGAACATGGTCCCTTAATGTGAGGAAACTTGACCGTAGATCATTACGCCGTTGACGCTCCAGGATATTATGGTTGCGTCGACGTTCACTATCCTCTGAATCAGAGTTTCGAGGACTTGAACTCTTAGACTTTGGTTGGATCGTGGGTTTTACTGGACGGGGCACCTCGGTTTTTAACTTTTTCTGTGGTGGAGCATCTTCACTCTCCATGTATGGAGAAGGGGCGGCATAATTATGCTGCTGGTGAATTGGTGCGCATCGTTTTAAAATCAGTTCATTCTGCTGTGTCCTGACTGATGGAAAAGTGGTATTTTTAGGACGCACTGTAATAGTAAGGGTGGTAACAGCCTTGTTGGAGGAGGAACGTCTTTTCTCCACTGTCACAACATCTATTTCTTCTTCTTCATCCTCTTCCTCCTCATCTTCATCATCTTTTGGTAATGGAAAATAAAATAGACATTATTCTCACAGAAAATACTCTGAACAAGTATCAACCCAGACGTATTTATTGACAAAATATGTACAGTAAAAGCAGCAATAACTGATGGCAAAAACAGGGTGTGCCCACCATCTGTAGTCAGATACAGATCTGGAAAAGTGTGTAATATACATGAAATTACTGAAGAACAGCAATCTCTGAAAAGTTTAATCAAGTTTAATGAGTTTTTTTTTAAACACTTCTGATTTTCCATCAAAGCGGAGCTACCACCCACATAATCGCAGGAGCAGAGAATATTTAGACAGAATGTATGTATTTTGAATGGAATCATAGAGCTGCAGTACAAAAGGCATGCACAGTTCCACAACACAGCCCTTGCTTGGTAGAAAATCAGCCGGAAAACGAAACAATCGCTGGGTTTGTTCTAAGGCAGAAGGTGAAGCTGCTCCAGCCGGGGACCCTTTAAGCCGGCGCTTGGTGCAGTGCCAAGAAGACAGCTGTTGGAAGTGCTTCCTCACCCAAAGCTGTCAAACCAGACATTAAAGGGACAGCAGGCTTTGAAACCCGGGACGAACCACGAAGTTTATGGGACGGTCCTACCGACCAGCCCATCCACACATGCGAAACCACGTTTCAGCCCAAGTGGACTTCTCTGCGGGCACGGACAGGAGATGTTTCTGGGCATTTTAGGCTCTGTCACTGCAAGCACTGCTCTGAGGGGCCACTAGCCTGCTCCAGCCATCCTAAATCACGCCTACGGGCACACACGGTCATCCCCCCACGAACCCCGTCCCCAGGGCGACAGTGGCAGTCCGCTCTGCCCCCCAGCACTCCCAGT